CCGGCATGATGAGCATCCTCATCATGAAAGAGGTAGAGCCAAAGTTGCCAGGAGAGCAACTAGCTCTTAAGAAAGGAATCTGGGGCTGCACGCATGCCCACATACTGGACCAGACCATAGTGAGACATGCGAAGAAATCAAAGAAAGAGTTGCATATGCTTTGGGTCGATATGACCAAAGCGTACGACTCTATATCGCACCAAGCTCTACTATGGTGTCTGCGACAGTGGCAGCTGAGCCCTTCCATAGTGAACTTGCTGGAAAAATTAATTAAATGTCAAAAAGTGCGATACTTTGGCAAGGTTGCCAACCAACAGGTAAGCAGTAAGCCGTTGAGCGTCCGGAATGGCCTAATGCAAGGCGATTCGCTCAGTCCGTTACTCTTCGTAATGGTAATAGCGCCAGTCTCGTACTGGATTCGAAATAATATTCATCCGTATGAAGCAAGGACAGCCCCCAACACGCAATCGATGAGAAATGATAGACTTCGTCTGAGCCATATCTTCTACATGGATGACCTGAAGGTCTACGCTAATTGCTGGGAGCAATTACTCAAGGCAAAACAGGGGATAGAAAAAGTGGCAGCAGAACTGGGCTTGGCAATGAATGCTGCAAAGTGTGCTATAAAATCAATGAACCACCTGAACAGGTGGATGGAAACTGCCGAGGAACCACACAATGTTGAGAGTAGTACTGACCAGAGTCTCAGAGATGAGCATCGCTCGCCCATGCACCTACCGCAAGAAATTGGACAAATCCCGGTACTTGGTGCCACTGGTCACTACAAGTACCTGGGTATCGAACAGAATGCGCTTGCGGATGTGCATGACCTTTGGCAGCGAACTGAAACAGCTGCATTAGAAACTGCAAGAGAAATACTTGCTAGCAAATTGACTATCGGTGAAAAAATTATAGGCATCAACACTAGAGTGATGCCAAAGATAAGATATGCAACATCATGCATAATCTTCGGCAAGGGTAAATATCTCTCTATGAAGAAGCGAGCCAGAGAATTTGACCTTAAAATGCGTCAAATTATGGTGGAGACCAGGCTGCGGTTCCAGTATAGCTGTGTAGCTAGACTCTATGTTAGGAAAGAACTAGGTGGATTTGGAATAAAGACTGCAGAAGAAGAAGTAGAGCACGCCACAACATACGCATGGTGCTATCTTGTCACGAGCCCAGAGCTTTCGTTCTCATACCGATTTGCGGAGTCACTAACTAAAAGTGATAAAAGATCACTTGACTCAGACTTTCGCTCAGTTTTGCAGGCAAATGATCTTGAAAGTAGAGTCGGTCCCACGGGAGAAGCACATATTAGCGTTGATGGTACGGAATACAGGCAGGCACGAGTGGCAGCCAGAGCCATCACACGATTAATTCGGAACAGGTGGGAGAAGCTCTATGAAAGCGAGTGGAGAAGTAAGATCACGGCCAGCCGAGTGATAACTCCATTAAATCGGACCAATGCTGATGATGAGATAGCAATCAGAGACTCGTTCCTCTGGTTAACAACTGGAACAATTGTCGCCAGAACTGCTAGAAATATTGTGGCCACACAGGAAGCAGCCCTCCTAACTAGAGCAAGCCCAGCGTTGTCCCAAAGCCAGCAGACGGTCCGTGAACAATGTATAAGGGAGTTGTCTCTGGCGAAAGCATGTCGTTTCGGTTGTGAAAGAGATGAAACCGCCGAGCATGTAGTTGCAGAATGTGATCATTGGAGATCAAACTTGATGATCGAACGTCATGATGCAGTGGCAAGAGTGGTCCTTAAAGCTCTTAAAAGGAAGTATTCATTAGAGAAGAAGTATCAGGATGACAATAATGACATTGATGTAATCGATGAAAACAATATTGTCATCTACTGGAATATGCCAATCATAACAAGAGACAATATCAGACACAATAAACCAGACCTAGTGGTTTGGCAAAAACATAGACGGAAAATCTGGATTATAGAATTTGCCGTTTCGTGGTATGTGCGAATAGCCGAAGTTGAAAAGATTAAGCTATACAAGTATGGTGTCAATGGCACACTACCGCAAGATGTGCACTCGGAGCAATACTTTCAAGGTCTGAACCTAAAAGATGCCCTTAGGAAAGAACGGAATTGCGAGGTTCAGGTGATTCCGCTCGTGATAGGCACTTGTGGAGAATGTTCTCCGAAACTTCGTAAAAATATAGACTTGCTCGAGCTCAAGGAAGACACAGATCAGATCATAACAAGAATGGCCAAGATGGCAATTCTAGGCACCGACAAAATAATCCGATGCCACCTAAGTACCTAGAACGAACATTGCGAGAGCCAA